CTTTATCCCACTGGTAACCTTTCTTATGTGCATTTAAATAAAAGAATACAACAATTTACAACATATCTGTATTACACAGCAAGGCAGTAGTAATTACACATTTGCTTTCCTACTGTACCTGTCCAATTGCTGTGCAGATATGTCAACTGGCTTTCTTTAACCCCAAGCACAGCAGTGCTTTTTACTGAGCAATTGTAATAGCTGTGTTTGGCAGTGTGTGGAGTCCTGTGATGATGCTGCTCTCATAAAGGCTACAATATGACTGTAATTACTGTAATTAGTGCAATGTTGCGTGTCACCATTTTGGCAGCATTCTTAATTTTCAGACAGCAGATGTGTAGGCGGGCTTTCAAAAATGAAAATAAAGATTTGGTCTTAGCCTTTGTTAAAATGCATCAAACCGCACCTGCTTTGGTGGAGTCTCGGCTTGTGGAAAAGATACAGCAGGATCACAAGCATGACCTGAGAAAAAGCAGATGCTTTTCAGAAACAGCTTGTGATTTTTGTGGCTATTGCCTCTCTTCTTTTCGAAGTCCATAAAAATCACTTTTTTGTTATTTTTATGGACTTCTTGCTGGGCTGTCTAGGGCACAGCGTGCATGCAAACTGGTATCAACACAATGCCACAAAATGTAATGGGTGTGCCATCTGTCATGTGTCAACAGTTAGGACTTGTAGTGCTGGATCCATGTGGAGTTTGTGCAGTAGCACCTTCATATAATGTAGTTCCTACACTGTGTAAGCTGATACAGAGTGCATAAATATACTGGACATCATGGGCATTCTTCATATTCAAAGTATTCCTATTCTGCTGACTGGCCCCGCCCAAACCAGCATGACACATTGTGTTAATTAGGCAGGTGCAAAAGGGAAATAAAAGAAAATGAATAAACAGCTGTATAAAAACAATTTGCAGAATTACCAATAACCAATATCCCTACATGCATATTGCTTGGGGATAATAATTAACAGTATTATAGTTTATATTTTTATAAAGGAGACTTAGAGAATCTAGTGAACAAAAAAAAATATTGTTGTACCCCTTTTTATTTCCTCATTTGTGGATTCTAGTCTCGGTGCACCGAATATACATTTTATCAAGCAAATATGTTTTGGCTGTGACCAGAGGTGAAATTCCATCAAGGCAGATCTTTGCACTTTTAATGAAGACTGTAGGCAGACAAGTAAGTCTCTGTGGAAATGTCTCTTAATGAAATTAGATTACCAAGGCGCCATGTGCAATCTCAAAAATAATTGTGCCCTTCTGATCCTTTTTAAAGAAATTTCACCCTTCCAAAATAATACAATAACACATTGATAGGAAGCAGGAGAGAGGTCACCGGACTAGGCTTTATTAACATTGATCCTGAATACTGTGGCATCATGGGATTTGCAATTGACCTTTATTACTGTACATAAGTACAATGTGGGCCTGACGATAAAATGGTGTGCATGCCATTAAGTTTGACCACAAACTTTTAAAATGCTGTTTACTGCATTTCCAGTAAAAATGTTTTTATTTTACAGCAGTAAAATAGCAATATGATTTATCAAGACATGGCTGTACCCCACTCAAAGACAAACTAGTCTGTTTCTTTATGCTGTTGTAGGGTGGAGGACTAACTTCTGGTCTGCCACTAGGCGGTGCTGTGTATTAGGGATGACATCACACACCTTCACAACTGGTGCTTCCTGCCACACTGTGGCCAGAGCTCCATCTTACTGTTGGGCTTTTAGAAAGAAAGTAATAAACTTGTGTTTATATTTGATTTTTTTGTAGATTTTAAACTAGCAAACTGAGAATCTCAAAATAATAACATAATGCAAAGGACTAATTGTAAATGGTGTGCTGTGTTTGCTTATCTGTATGAAATCTGTACTAATGAGGTGAATGATTGTTAAAGGAGTGCAGGTGGGACTGATTTCCTACCAGATCAAGCTGTCAAGGTAATGGATTGATTGATGGGTATGGATGAGGCTACACTGGTTAGCTTACTCAGGAGAGTCTCCCATTGATCTGGTGGGAGAGAGGGAAAATTATTTTACAGCTGTAGACAGTATAAAGAAAACCCTCAACCAAACAATACACATGTACATACTGTACACAAAAGAAAAATGTATTAAGCAAAGTTATAGCCACAGTTATCAATGGGAACTTAAAACCTCTTTGTTATTAAATGAGGAATTCTGTATTTGTGCTCTCAGGGGAGTAGTTGGAACTTATTACACAAAGGGTGTAAAGGGTCCTCTAGGATGGAATATATTTTACGCCAGACTGATAGACGTGGGGTAAGGGCAGAAAGATCAACACCAATGGCTTTCTGACATACTGTAGTTTGACAGTACTCCCCAATGTTTTCTTACTCCTCAGATTCCCAAACGGGCAAATCAGGATAAAAGGTTAAAGCAGAATCAACGAAAGACTGAAAAAAGTGAAAAGGCATGATCAATGATTTACCTACCTTATAATACTAAAATTTTTAAGTTTCCTTAAGAAAAATAGACTCCGTGGCCCTTGTTGGCAACCAGAGCCAACATTTGCCTCAAAATTGAACTTGCAGTCCAGAACAGCCCTCAGATGATATTTTTCTGCCATCTCCACTCATTCCCCCCGATGCAGGTTCGATTGGAGGTTCTTCCAGAACTCAACCGCCATGTCTGTGGTCTTAGAGACATTCACCTACAGACAGGTTTTGGAGCGGGTGTGACAGTCAACCCTCTGAGCACCGGCGGTGTACAGTGATGTCAGGGGAGCTCACCACATAGCTCCTCCCGTCCTCCTTCAACCCCTTGAGTCCTTGGCGTGCCCCAAGATGTCAGAAAACCACCGATGATGCCAAATTGGGAGGGTATAGAAGTGAAAACATAAATAAAACCTGGTGAAGAGCTTGGTCCATGTAAGCCATAAAAGGAGAGTGAATTTATGTACTGTATTATCCACCAAATCCCACATGGTGGGCAGGAACTTCAGTGCTGATAAAAAGATTCACAGGTTGGAGCAGAATTATCTCAGAGGCCAGACATAATTTCAATATGAGAACCTCTATAACACTGCAAAGATACCTGTAAATTTTATTCAGTGTAGTCCCTCTACTTTGCGACTTATCCTTGTGTATGTCTGTCACATCCTAGTCTAAAATGTGACATTAAGTTATGCACAGTACCATTCAGTTTAAATATTCCCCCTGTGAGACAATTAACCTTCTCTTGCTGAGGGCATTCTGCGAGAGTTAAACTCACTCGTTGGCATTCTCTTGGAGAACAGCAGGATCACCAGTCACTCCGGGAACAAAATGTCCATATTCTTCATCATTAGCGGATATGTGCAGGCCAGGGTATTTGTGTGTGCAAGAGAGAGAGAAAAGCAATTTATTTTACTTTGTGTCATTTTCTTGATAAAGACTTGTGGAATTAGTCTGGCTTTCTGGAGAATTCTAATTTTAGATATGGATATTTTGTTAATAAAAACCCTTATTTGAATTACAGGCACGCATTTTTTATTGCTATATTATTCCTTATCTGCTCTTCTTAATTTAAAAAAACTCTCAGAAAAGGAACAGCTTTTTATGAACACTGTAAGAGTTTGCATCTCACAGCTTTGGTTGATTTATTTGTGTTTAAAAACACATTCTGGTGATTAAAAAAAAAGATGGTACAAACTGAATCTTTTAACTATTAAGCAGGTAAATGTGAGGTATGCAAGTTGTCCATGCGAGAGGCATATTTTAAGAAAATAAACAATACTACATAGTGCCACATACTGGAAGAGAGAACGTAATGTGGGATATTGTCTCTTGTATTTATTCAACAACTTTGAAAATTTTTCGGGGTAAGGCTGGGAGAAGCTGTAGTTTGTCTTCATCTTTTTTACCCAACAGTGACCCCCTGTGGCTCCCTAGGTATTGCAGTCTCATCAATTGGAGCTTCACCGTCATTCTAAGCAAAGCTTACTTTGCTGTAGGTGCTTCTGGACTCCCGAGTTGGAATAAATAACAGATGGTGCATCCAGTGTACATTTAGGACAAAATGTGCACAGTTTTCACCTCCTCCCTTTGTCCTTCTAATCTCATGGTTGCAGGAGTGCTGAAACCGTAAAGGTGAGTTGATTGTCAATTCCTGGCTGTGGTTGGCAGTTTGCATGAACCTTCCTTTTGCTTGGCTTGCAAATAAAACCTCTCCACCCATCATTATCCTTTCTACAATGTAAGTGACAATTCCAATAAACAAGTTGAGAAATCTGGGACCCATCACCTTTCCCAGGATGGGCCTAGTGATGTGGTTGTTCACATTGCTGCTTCCTGGCATTTCTGTCCCTATGGTGTTTCTACCCCCTTCCCTCTCCTTTCTTTCCCAACAAAATGACTTGATAAGCTACTGTCCATTGTTGCTCCCAGAGTGTGATCCCTTGACTCCATAAGTTGGGTGCTTTATCTCATTCCACCTGGCAGGCGTGGCTCAGATGCCTCAGAATTGAATGAACATTTCATACATAGCTAGTGCATACCTTTCGCTTGGGACGTGGTTGCAGGCAGTTCTGTTCCAGATAACTGAAAGACTGAAGTATTCCATCCCTAACCCCATCCTCAACTCTCACCAATCAAACCTTAAAACTATGCCCTTGGTAGTGTTTAGATGCACTATGAAAGCAATTGTTTATGTGCTTTCAGATACAACCTGGCCCCTGAATTTAGAACATGCCAAACAAGATGGGTGTCCCAGGTTTTATGATTTCCCAAAGCAGACTCACATATCCAGAGTTGGCAGCCTTACTAAAGTTTATGAGTCAAACGTAGTAGGATTTTGCTTGATGAGACAAGCACTCAGCACAAATGCCTGTAATCCCACCTCATTTGACGTGCCTTACAGTTTCAGTGCAGTTTGAATGTTGATTAGCTCTTTTTTAGTGGTAAGCCTTTACAGTGTCCCTGCAGTTCATGCCAAGGCAGTGGTTCCTGTTATAAATAGTTGAGTGACATGAAAAAAAAAGATTCAAGCTGGTAGATTGCATCAATAGAAAATACTTTTAAATTATAACATTCACATGTACAAGCATACATAATGAGACAAGTGCTGTATCAAAATAAATGAAAATATTGTACATCGAAGCAGAAAGCAAACAAAGCAGTTTTAACTTTAAATTATAACATCCATTAGCTTGACGATAAGACAGTATAAAACTGAACAAAATATGTTACATCAAACCACCCATGACACAAAACAAAAAGCAAATAATTTTTCTGATGTACAAGAAAATATTAACATCAATTTTTACATCCAACATTGCAAGTCATACAGAGAGCTATTGCATGGCAATACTCATTTGCACAACCCCAGCTTTTAACAACTGTGCAATAGAGAGCTTTGAAGTGTTTCAAAAACTCTGCAAACGTTTCTAATATTTCTTCACTGATATCATTTGGAATGCATACTCCATCTTAACTTCTGTTCCTCCATTGAAAGGTCTAAATACTCCTTGTATTTGACATTGGGCTGGACCTGCACTTCAGACTTTGAACTATGTGTTAAAATGCACTTAAAACATGTACAATAACTCAACAGGAGGCAATATGCATGTTAAGATCTTCCACCACTGGTTCAATTAAACAGAAGCAGAGGGCTGTGCTGAGGAACATGCTGTTCAAGACTAGATCATCCCAAAGTGACCATCCCTGAACTAAAGTGGCCACATGTGGTACCTAATTCATTATTCTTCTTAAACATTCAAATTTCACGCACAGCGTGGAAAAAGTGGATATACAGTACGCCTCACCACAGATCAAATTTATTACCATCCTGAAGCTTATACCTGCTCTACAAGGATGCTCAGCTCATTCATTATTGAAACCTGATCAAAGTTAACTAGACATATCTTCTAGGAAGATATCAGCAACAATGTTAGCGTTTTAAGATCAGCCAGCCCCCACGTACCTTTGTAAAAAATACTGTCATTGTCAAAGCCTTGTCAGTTGGCCCATTCTCTGTATACGATATACTGTGTGTGTATGCAACAGATTACTGACTGTTCGGATTGTTTAGATGTGTGTACGCGGTATATGAAGAGAACACAGATCCAGCCACATCAGGGCCCGTTAAGATCCACTGGGGGAAACAAGATTCTCAGAAAGTGGGCAAGCAGTGCATATTGCAATAGATTCTCGGAAAACTCCTTGAAATTAGTCATGCTCAGGTTTGCCTAATCCAGAGTTTAGGTCTTTCCAGAAAAGTCATTCATTCCTCAGGGCAGAGAGAGAGTGAGAGAGAGTCAATCCTGGTGCTTACATTGCAGATTTGGAGCTAGCATAGGCGCTGCTGTGACAGCTCTACCATGGAGGCTCTTTCATTGCAGTATCCTATATTATAAATCTGACGTTTCCGGCCTATGAGCACGTCCTTTAGCTGGGTGGATTGAAAGCGACCGGTCAGTACTGTGCTGGGTACCTTCCACCAGTCTTGAGTGGTGGCTGGTGAGTGTGTTAGCGCCCCCTAGCCTTTAAGAAGCCAGTCCGCCAGCATTTGCAAAGCATCAAAGTACAGTAGGTCGGCGTCATCACCCCTTCACATCTGTGACTCTCCCGTGTTGCGGCTGTTCTTCAAGGACTAGAAAACAAGAAAAAAAAGAGTGAGAATGCCTTGTCAAACAGTTCGGGTCATGTCCGATATATTTCAAGTTAAATAAGTACATTCCAATACAGTGTGCAAAAAATATTGAAAAAAAATTATTAGCTGTGGACATAAAGTTTGAATCCTAATTCAAAAACCTCAAAGGAGGCAGATAGTTCTGTACCATTGGAATGCTGTAACATTTAAGCACCTGTAGAGAACAGCTCTGCTATAGGAATACAGACTGAATTCAGAGAATACAGACAGCAGACTATGTGTTGGAATGACATTGGTCCGATCAGATGACGGTTTTATGAGAAGGCTCATATTTAATTTATTAAAGGAGTAAGATTGATTTTGAATTTCAAGAAAGGAAACAAAAGTATAGAAGCCAGAGGTAAGGAGTTCTTGTATATTCCAAGTATTACCTTGACACCTGAGAAGTGTATCACAGTGGACACCCTAAATCACCCTATATCAAAATTGTAAATTTTATTTCTCTTGAACTAAACTCTAGAATCTAGAATTATTGCCTGACCATCATACTGGTTTTCAGCAATAACACATCCATCCTCTAATTTGGTCCATCCATTCATTCATTTATTAACTGTTTCATCCAATTCAGGTTCATGGGGAAACCAGAGTCTATCCTGGAAAGCAAAAAGCACAAGGCAGGGTACACCCTGGACATGACACCAGTCCATCACAGGGCAGACAGACACAGGCACACACGCACTCACACCAGGGCCAGTTTTCCCAGAAGTCAATTAACCTACCATTATGTCTTTGGGTTGTAGGCGGAAACTGATCAAATGGAGGAAACCCACACAAACACAGGGAGAACATACAACCTCCACGCAGACAGCACCCCAGGAACTGAACCCAGAGCACCAGCACAGTGAGGCAGCAATGTTAACCACTGCATCACTGTACCACACAGAAATAATACAATCAGGTGATAAACTGTATTATATTAAATGTCTACGTTTCAGGATGTCCTGAGTGCACGCCCCTTGCCTGAAGCCTAAAAAGGGGGATTCTCTCAAGGTGACTGTATGGTTACTGTACAAGACAGTTCCAAGTGATTAGGGTACTTCATTTGCTTTACCTGTGAGTTGGCGGAATTATTTGTTGAGCTGCTGAATTCAGAGTACTTGGGTTTCTTTTCGGTTCTGCACACAGGAGGCAGGAATTTACGGTACTCATCCCTCACCTGCAAAACACAGCACATTACAACAGGCCCTGCCACCTTTCTGGATCTGATGTAGAGCAGAAAATGTGAAGTCTGTCCAATAGGCATGGCCCTGCACTACATTCTCTCATTCAAAAACGCTGCCAGCTAAGAGCACTACGTGATATTACATAACAGTCAGAGCAGGTGACTTTCTTTCACTGTCTTTGAGAGGAATCATTAAAGCATCTGCTCCATTACCTTTTGAATCTGGAAAAAAAACAAAAAGCAGGACTTGTTTGTCTTAAATGATCCTATTATCTCATTCCAATTTACACAAATTAATTATGAAGTCCTTCATAAACCTTCAGTCACCACTGAATGAAAGCTCTGTCCTAACACCACCCCAGAAGATTTAACCTGTATCACCCAAGTGCCAATCGTCATTGAACGCTCTGCTTGTTGAACACAACCTGTAATGTATAGCATGTGTGGCCCTTGTACGTTATGTAATCTGCTGCACCATGACTGATATTTTCAAAATATCTGTGCAACATGGCCTGAACTCCTGATGTCCTAGGAGATCATGAGTTCTTTGCAGTCCTGGATTACTAGAATCTTTGCTCAAAGAGCTTGGATCAAGAGGATGCTTGTATAGAGGATGAACTTGATGGCACTGTCAGTTTTAATTTTTAACCTTTCTCATAGTCTGATCCTGTTGGATTTTTCTTCTCCTTAAAATGTATCATTTAGGTAATTTATGAGACCAGGATGACACTGGTACTTCAGCAGTGTGTGGTATGAGACTTGACTGCAAATACGGCTGGTATTTGTATAGTGTTTCCATGCTCAGGCAAAGCATCCCCTTTGTTTTGTTACAGCTTCCTACCATTTTGCTTCACAGTTTAATGCGCCCTGGAGTGATGTCACCATGCTTTACTGTGTTTGGACAATAGTACATTGCAGTCAGCTTTTACTAAGGTTTGTCAAGGGATGAAACTGAAAGCCTGTGTCGAAGACTGTTTGCACGTCTCACCGGCTTGGACAACAGGCAGTGCATGACGAAGATGAGCACGCCCTGAATGCTGTTCAGGATGGTGAAGAGGTAGGACATGACAATGGTGTTCTCTTCAAACTGGAAACAGCCAAAGATCCACATGGAGCCCAAAATGCACAGCTGGGCGACGGCAGTAATCGTGAATTTCCTGCAAAGTAGCACAGCAGCTTGTATCCAAGATCCACAGACTTTTCTTCAAAACACAGAAACCAATAACCAAGTAAACCAATATTCAAGCCTTCAGTATTCAACATGGCACTTACTTTAAAGAAATTTGAAATACCTAACAAAAGGCGTACCGTACTTAGCTTGTTTGCTTTTGTGATCTTTGCTCAGTTACAGATGGACCAAAACACATTCAGTGGTAAATAGTATTGATTATTAATAATAATAATTCCTTACACTTATATAGCTTACACTATATACATCCAGGTGGATGCTGCACATTGGTGGTGGTGGAGGGGAGTCCCCATTACCTGTAAAGCGCTTTGAGTGGAGTGTCCAGAAAAGTGCTATATAAGAGTAAGCAATTATTAATTATTATTATTATAGCACTTTTCTGGATGCTCCATTCAAAGAGCTTTACAGGTAATGGGGACTCCCCTCCGCCACCACCACCTGGATGATGTGACGGCAGCCATAGTGCACCAGTATGCTCACCACACACCAGCTATCAGTGGGGAGGAGAGCAGAGTGAAGAAGCCCATTCACAGATGGGAATAAGTTGGCCATGATTGGTAAAGGCCAAGGGGAAATTTGGCCAGGACGCCACGGTAACACCCCTACTCTTTTCGAGAAACACCCTGGGGTTTTTAATGACGACAGAGAGTCAAAATTTACATCTTTTTCAAAAAGAATGGTACCTTTTTACAGTATAATGTCCCTATTACTATCCTGGGGCATTAGTACCCACACAGAGTGCAGGGTGGGCGCCCCCTACTGGCCCCACTAACACCTCTTCCAGCAGCAACCTTGACTTTCCTAGGAGGACTCCAATCCAGGTACTGGCCAGGTTCACACCTGCTTCAGTGGGTTGTCAGTTGTGAGTTACAGGGTGATATAGCTGCTGGTGTACTATTTTTTTTTTTGGAACTTGACACTATGGGTCCACCTACTGTGCTATAACCATAGTAGTTAACATGTACTCCATTCCAGGTTTATAGCACAATCAACTGACTAATTAATACTCTTTTTCCACTTACAATATATAATCAAGCTGTTGTTTGGACCAATGGCCTCTAGTGGAATGGATTAAAAGTGCTGATATATGACACCCTCTGACAGGATGAGTATAGAAACATATCTCCTCCAAGCAATATATGATTATTAATAATACATTTCTGTGGAACCTTTATGTTATTTCTGTGACACGAGTGCATTGACGTAATTGATAAACTGAGAATGAGGAGACTAACAACATGTGAGGTATTAATGTGTCTGATTGACACTTGCTTATTCTTTGCATTGCAAAAGAAACAGTCTGAGAGTATTTGCCTCACTGATCTTGACATTGCCATGAATCAGAGCCAAGGAACACATGGACCCTGCTAGTGGTGCAAATCAGACGTTAAATGCATTCTTCAGAGCTCTTGGTGAAACGCCAGGCACTCACTTGATCTTCTTCAGGTTGGACAGGTCTGGATTGAGGCTGCTGAACTTCAATGCCAGCTTCCACACCGTGATCATGAAGAAAAAGGCGTTGATCTAAGAAGCAGCAGAAAGTGCAGTGCATGGTGTGAGACCTTCATACCACTGTTGCTTTCGCTTGCCACCTGTGGTCTTAAGATGAAATGCTAAAATGCAGAGAGGTACTATATCTACTACATCTGTGAAATCAGTACAGCTGTCAACAATCCCAGCCTCTCTGTAAATTACCTTGTGCTTTAGCGACATTCATTTTCTAAGACAGCAAATGTTGTTTATGTGCCTGGGACAATCATTTTTTTGATTGATGGAAACTATTGTCCACTTCTGTGGAAATTTGTCTTTGGCTTTACCCATAAAAGTACAAAACACACAAGCAAAATATAAAAGACACATAAAATACATGAAATCATAATAACAGTATATAATGCATAAATAAATATGTAGTGGAGGGGACTATATTTACATACAGTACATTCATAAAACAGCTTTATTGCACATACTGTATAACAAAGGACGTCTTAGAAATGTTTTTATTTGAATTTGGTACCCTATACCATCTTCCTGATGGGAGTATTAAGAATTGAGAATAGAGTAGATCCGTGGAATCAGCTGTGATGTTCCTTGCCATTCTGAGAACTGTATTATGATAATTTATATATATATATTTATATATACACTGAGCTGGGGCTGCTGTTTCCCAATTATTTTTCCTGCCATTTTCACAATATTGGACAGTTTGGTTTTACTTTAGAAGCATGGGTTTCTCTGCCAAACCGTTATATTAAATACCAGGAAATTCTTTTATATGCCCTCTCACGGACATTTTGACTATCTTTAAAGTTATTTCATTTTTGAGGACTGGTTCGCTTTCTTAAAAAAACACTGTTTATATTCTCAGCCTCTGATCAATATGTGCCCCTAGATATTTAAAACTTTCCACAACCTTTGCAGACTGACAACTAAGTACTTCTGGCTGCAAAGGCCCACCATCTTTACAATAATTTTAACATGGCAAAGAGGCCATTAAGTCTTTGTCACATTTATTTCCAATGCGCTGGATTGGCACCAGCTTTGAAGGATATTTAATGAATGGTGCTATAAAGTAAAACTTCACTTACCATGATAATCACACAGACGGGCCCAAAGAAACTCCAGATTAAGCCCCGATCCAGTGCCAGCCAGCAGCTACATGCAAAAAAAAAAAGAAACGAGAAATGAGAGATGTTCGCATATCACAGACATTGTTAACAGTAATGATGCCAATGCTGTCATCCTGATTGTGCAGAACTCACTGTCTGTCCGTGCCGTAGCCCCCGGGGTAGGAGATGGCAGAGATGACCACGATGACAAGGGGGATGCCGTAGCCAAAGGCCAGCATGTGCAGCCGGTGCAGAGTGGTGTGGAAAACCAGCACCACCATCCGGTACAGCTGGATCCCCTCCAGACACATCCAGCAGAACGACGCCAGGAAGAAGAAGTGCAGGAGCCCCGCCACCAACGCGCAGCCTCCCTGGGGCGGACACACAGATGGGGGAGGGGGGTCATGCTCGAGTTGGGGTAGGGGGGTCTATAGCGATCCTGACTGTGCTTCATATCAGATCTGCTCTGCATTGGCGCACGGCAAACAGAAACCCTTTATTAACTGCATCAATCAATCTAGCAATACACCTGAACCTGCTTTCAAACACACCCGAGACTATCCGTCCAGCCTATCTGTCCTTATCAATCAAGTGCCTGCAATGGGAAATGTACTGTCTGTTGGGGTGGCAGACACTATCTATACCAAAACATCAAACACAGCACAGCTAAAGGTACATCGATAGCTGCAGGCCTGTTGGTGCGTCTATCTTTCCATGGATGAAAGAGAATGTATGCAGTAAAGCACAGATGTTCATGATAAGTACTGAGCATGAATTTAGTAATCTCAAAATATGAATGATTAACCACACAGCAAAATTTGAATAAAAAAAAATCCAGGAATGGAACAGTGAGATGTGAAACCATTAGTTCAGCACTAGAGGGCGCCCTTGACAGGTCTTTTATTGTTGAAGCTTTCTATAGATTTCATACTCTGGAAGCCACCCAAGATACCGATGGATTACCCTGTCATTTTGCGGTAGCTCTAAGCAAAGAGAAAGCGTTCACAAGAAAAAGTACTGAGCTAGGTGCTGTATCCACAGTATAATTATCTAGCTGCTGTGGTGATCTCCACACGGGGCCTGCCTGATCAAAGCCATAAGCAGGGTTGTTATGTATGAGTCCAAGTCCAAACACTGCAGTTCTGCTGATGAAAATGAGTAATTCTGCACTTCAACCACTGTGGACGCAACTTTAAGCACGTTCTCCCAAGGCTTTGCTATGTTGACAGTCAAGCCTGGGTCACGTCACTAGCTGACTGGGACTGTCCAAGTGGTGGCACACAACTGCTCAAGAGAGGTCCAGGATTGGGATTAGTTGCCAGGGGCTCTCTCAGCATTGTCTCTCCTGCCAGGCACTTTGTGCGTGTCAAACTAACAGCTCTGAAAGTTGGTTGTCACAGTAGAGTCCAGGAGTCACCCCTGTGCTCTACAGAAACAGAAGTCACACAATTAGGTCTTAAAATACCAAACTGTGCGAGTTGGTAATACATATGGCCCATTCCAAATGAATGCTATAATAGTAACCATCGTTATAGTCACTATTAGTCGTTAATAGCTATTGCTCTTCAAGTGTTGCATAGTAAGGCACTGAGTATTGTATGTTCAAGAAACCAAATCTTTCGAATGTAAGGGAAAACAATGCCAAAAACATTGGTAAATTTATCACTGTAAACCTGTACAGCACAGACTGTTGTCTCTGCCCAGGGAGTGCCTGTTATCCCCTCAGAGGCCCGGCAGCCCACCTTGTTCTGGGTCCTGGAGATGCCGGCGAGGAAGACCAGGTCCGCGATGAAGAGGCTGATGCAGAGATGCAGGTGGATGGTGTTTCGTGTTCCCTGGATGGAACGGCACCAGTAGAAGGTGACGATGCACAAGAGCAGGCAGAGCAGGGACAGAGAGAGCCCCACCCAGGTGATCATTTGCAGCTCAAAGGAGTCCTGGCAGTGACAGTATGACAAGATGTCAGGGACCGTCGCGTCTGTGAAACACTTCTCACCATGCTGAATTCACAAAAGTGGTTTTCCCCTAACTACCAACTCCAGTAACTGGAACGTTTCAGGGTTCTCATGTTTAGCACTGAACTGTTGTGCCAGCTCCCACAAAATGATCTCAGTTTTGATCCAGCTTGGTCTGAGTTTGCAGGATTACAGTAGCCAGAATCCAGAAGGCTGGTGAACACTGAGTCACTTTCAACACAGGCTACTGGACTAATGCTTTGATTTATTTAGGTCAACTGCTGGTTTATCCAACTGGGTGCAGACTCACCTTTAGGTCATAGAGGGACATTAGGACAGCGAAACTGCTGAGATGATCGCATTCGCACACGGTGTGAGTATCATTGAAATGCTTTGCCACACAGCCCTGAGTAGACCATTCACCTTTGTTCCAGTACACACAAGTTTTATACTCTGCTTTCTGTTGGAGAATCAAAAGTAAATTAGTCATTATACAATCTTGTACATTACATGTCTGCCGTATAACTTTCACCATTACAGAAACAAATATTCATAGTGTATGTGCTATAATTCAGGATCTTAGAGCTAATACAGATCAGATATGATAACGAAGGATAGGTTTTTATTTGACAGGGTTTGATACTGTGGGTATTTATGCCATAAAGTGAAATGTCATCATGTCACATTTCGAGCAACTCGACAACTTGACAGATGAGTCTCAATACGTCCGCAGGTTGATGAGCTTGGAAAGGCTGGAAAGGAAAAGCACAGACTCAGAATTGTTGGAATGGTCTGGAAAGAACTGGAGAAGAATGGAAAAAAAATCTTTGTATGTAACAGAGATACAGAGAACCAGGATTAAAAACTGGGAAGGAGCAGAGGGAGGGAATGAAGAGGTGAACTAGCCACACATAGCCAGATTAATTTAGCTAGCTAGGACACTGGAGGTCAATCTGCATGAGGAGTAAAAAAAGATTCTGGCTTAAGGAACTGCAGGCCTTGTGCTGGAAGGCCACAGTACATGCAGGCAGGAAGTTGTGTCAACATGCGTAGGCTGCAAAGAAACAAGTTAAAGGTTTATTCCAGGTGTCTTCACATCTGAAGAAGGCCCCACAGCCAAAAAAAAAGTGTTTTTCTTTTCAGCATGGAATAAACCTTCCTTCACAGTACATGCAGTCATGAATTTCAAATAAGCTCAGAGTGAAAACGCTGGAGAACATATTTCTTTCACTGCCAGCAGTTGAAACGTCTTGCTGTTTTCTGCTCCTCTGCTATTTAAATCTGCTTATATAACCTTGCAGCACTGTACTGTAGCTCCTCTCTGGTTTCCTAGGCCTGCCTTCAGTCTCCTTTGCACAAGGTTTTGTATCTGAGAGGGATAAGGAGGCTTACTTTCAAGTTAGAGAAGGTGATGTGGACGGACTTCTCGAGCTTTTCTGTATGCTCATTACTGACGGACACCGTCACCACTTTCGAGTTGATCTGAAAAGAGGTCCGGTCTTTTTCACCCGTCTCACGGAAAACAGCATCAAAAGAGCTATTGACGGAGGATTCCAGATCATAATAGGTAACCAAGGCAGCAGCAGCAAAACCTTAAACACAAAGAAGTCGGTCATGAATTCCTTTCTGATAGCCATGCCTGGGGATCTGAGAAAAAAGGTTTACTCATTTGCAGTTCAGTAAAAAGAGAACAAGCTCGTCTCGGGATATTTCAAAGATAGATTATGAGGTACAGCACTCCGACTTGATATATACCATGTAACAGCAGTAAACAACAACACATCTTTTTCTTTTTGTCCAGTCTAAAATGAAATAAATTATTTCTGAGTGTGCCCTTCCTCTTTCTCCTTTTCAATTTCTGTACGCAAAGAGAACATGAGGAATTGTGTCAGAGGATATTTCACCCGCACATTTCAGTGCTCCACAGCAAAGAGTGGTCACTTGCATGGAGTCCTGCTGTTAGTTTTTTGCATGTGAAAATATTCATTATGAAAATACTGCCTAACATTAAGTGGATTCGTCTATCCTCAAGATTGAGCTATTTGAATGAAATGTATTATAATGGACAGGGGTTCCTAGTCCCGGTCTTGGGGACCTCCAGACCTGCTGGTTTTCATTAAAGCAATAGTAATATTTTTCAGCAATACTAAAAAGGCAATCACCCATGTTTAGCAACTGAATACAAACTGAAGAGTTCAAGTTAAACCAGTTATTAGGTTTATTAAGGGCCCAATTATTGAATTGAGTGCTCAGATAGAACAAAAGCCAGTAGGAGTGGGGATCCCCAAACCCAGATCTGGGGAACCCCTGATACACAGCACTTAACAGCCCCAAATGATATTGTCTCTAGTTCTTTTATATCCCCAAGAGATTCACTGGAGTCATCAAAAACTTAAATGGAATAAAATTCCAGAAGAACCCAGGATTCTCTCAGACAAGTTAGTTAAATTACAGACCTGTTGAGTTTGTTCATAGTTCTCCACAGGTACTGCTCATTGTAAAGAAACAACTCCCGTTTCCATGAATCTGTTAATAGTATCGCAATGAATGACTCACAGGCAAATAGTGTATGTGGAGGAGGTGATTACACTACAAGAACTGCAGTAATTTACAACATGCTCTGATAATTGAATCTCCTCTAAAGGACAGAGCACAATGAGTCAGTGAGCAAGAAACCTTGTGAGCTACATAACCACTTTTACAGGTCAACATTTATTGGTTTCACTGTATTTATTTGCTTAGTTATATAATTGCTAATTAGACCATTAGTATCCTAATTAAATATTTTTGTAACCTGGGCCACTGTTCTGCCTACCTGTTTTTAAACTTGATTTCCACACGTCTACTGCCAGTATCCTTTACAAGTGGTCCAATAATAACAGAAATGATTGGACTGAGTTCAAAGCACAGAGGATAATTTTATCTATTTTTTCTATTTATCTCTTTTCCTTATCAGTGAAATCCCAGATTACCTTGGTTGTCTTGGCTGGCTACCGTTTCCCAGTGAGTGTCCAAGACAGCGTACTCTGAAGACAAGCTGATGCTTCCCGTAGGTGGATCACTGCCCCGGGACACGAGGAAATCCACGCCTGCAGACAGATGAATACGGACACATTCATGCTCATGAACAAATGAGGACAACTGAAATTACAACTATTCCAAAGTCCATTTCTAGATTTTCTAGAGGCACTAAGAGTGACTGCTACAGGAGTAGTCTATATACTGTATATATAGATTGTATAGTCTACATACTGTAGATTTAGTGGTAGTTGTGGTCATGACAGTCATAGTGACTACAGCTGTGCCCATCTCAGTTTTAATCTATCCCTTGTAGACATATAGGCTAAATAGTCTATATATAGTGGTAGTCATGGTTCTCATAGTGACTACCACTATAACTACCACTGTGATAGTCTATATACTGTAGATACAGTTTACAGACTAAGTAGTCAATATACAGTATAGAGGTAGTCATAGTGTTGTTAAGGCCTACCCAAAGTCGAGACATTGATCCAGGTCTGGCTCTCTTTCATTAGAGGTGCAATCAGCATCATGGCTTGCTCTGTGGTATGAAGGAATGATGATACACTCTTCCTGTCCAGTACTCCACCAAGTAGGAGATCATCAACAATACCCAGAAACCTCTGTCAGGGAGAGAGGCACAAAGAATGAAAAGAGAGGATATGGAAGACAGCTGGGAAGTGAAACGGCTTTAGTACCCAACCATGAGCATCAGATGAGAGCCCCCCAACACAGGGCCTGAAGCATGAACAATTCTTTCAATGCTCATAGCAAAGGGCTTTTGTAGTTAAGATTATTCTTTTTTTTTCTTTGCTGTGCTCCAACAAAACCTGGCAATTCTTAGACGAATGAGGTCCAACACCATTGTGAATAAGCTCTTTTATATTATTTGTTTCTTTTTACTTGGATTTACATGACACTGTCTCTATGTTCACCCCATGTATTTCTGATGCAAACCCACAGACACAGACCAAATCTTCATGACATTATCAGTTGTCTTCTCCTATGTCCTCATGAAGGTAAAAGTGATGACGAAATAAAAAAGCAAAGACTGAGTGTGTGGCAAAAAGTAACTTATATCCAGGTAAGTTAAGCTCAAGGTCTACAGTGCAATATTAAGACTGCATTTAGAACACTGCATTCAGTTTTGATCACTATGTCACAAATTGAGAGACTTGAATCAAGTTCAAGGAAGAGCAGTAAGAATGTTTCCTGATCTCATGGAATTTTCATAGATGGCTGAGAAACTATTTCCCTAAATTTGTTAATTTTGAGACTTAGAAGTGCTCAGATCCAAGTATATCTAATCCTAAGGGGTAGAGACAGAGTCAACCCAGGTCAACAATTTCACACTCCATACAAAAAGGGAATGCATAAGAGATACTTCTTTACCCAAAGAGTTGTGGGTGTCTGGAACACACAGCTCAGTCAGGTGGTTGAGGCCTAAACTATGGGCACTTTTAAGAAACAGATTAACAAAGTTTCAGCAAGTGAATAGAATGTGCTCCTCTCATCTGCAGTCTTTTCTAGGTCCTTGTAATGGTCATAGCCTTGGGTGAGGACAAGTTTTGGCAAAAAACTGTTTTTCATTGTCCTTTCTACTTGATTATGGCTTTGGACTTGATTGGCCAAGAACTGAGGTTTGATCCTAACAACACTGCCAATGTGAAGTACTGAACATTAACTCCCCTCGTCTCTTAGTCTGCCAGCTGTGCATACATTGAGTAACAGCTGAAGGAATCCTGCCTATAAACTTATCTTACCATTAGATATGTGTTGCCGTCTGGATAAGACTGATCACTTATCATCAAACATGAGTCGTTGAGGTCATTCACCACTTTTTTTAATCCAGAAGGTAGCTGAAAGACAATTACAAGAAGATATCTTGATTTTCTTTCACTGGTAAAAATGCTTCATTAAAACAAAATAAGAAATATCAAGAAAATGAAAGCACTTATAGACATTATTTCCAATAGTAAAATGCAGATTAAATTCAAGGTCTGGTTTCTAGTCTCATTTTGTTTGAACATAATAAGCTTTTTTGTGAAAACTAAAACAAAACAAGAAATTGTATTTCGCAATTAACTGAAGTGATTGGTTTTCAGAATTTTTTTATTGGGATTCCACACAAAGCACTGCTTGCTCTTTCTAGAAACCTTCTCAGATGTACTGCACCCCAGAGAATGAAAAAAAAAACATCCACATTCACATACATACTTTCTCAGAAATTAATAAAAAGGCTGTTTAACTGTTTTCTTCCACAATGCTGCTCGTTCATCATACTGTAAGAGCCTCTCAAACAGTTTAAACTGCACAAGAAAATTACAACATTCAATCAAAAACAACTATTATTCCTTAAAGACAAGAAAAAAAGAACACTGTGTTTGTGTACGGTTTACTGACATTCTGAGCACTGACGCTCAGCTGGTTGGCAAATTTTTAGAAGGGCACAGTGCCTGAAAGCATTGTGCTTCCCAGGACATTAACAACGATGAAGGAAAATGTGACACACGGTTCATTTCAAGCATTCTGTGGCAAAGTATGTCATTGTGTTCCCAGTCTGGCTGAGTAGAGAATAGACGAGTTATTTCTTCCCAGAGGAGGTTTCGCTACAGAGATGGTACTCTTGTGAGGTCCCGGCACTGTTTCGTAGTTCCTAGGTTTTTTGTAAAGTAGGATGTCTGATTGTAACCTACCTTCTCTTGTCCAGCTTCGTTTTTGAACAGGCTGTTGCAATTCAGTTCTGCATGAGGAATAGTAAAATTGCAGATTTTAGTGTCCTGCATGATGCTTTTGTGGAAAATGTTTGACATTTCCAACTCTGCAAGTGGTCAAGAGCACAGTCTTAAAGGCTTCCTTTCAGAAGCACACTACTGTGCTGTGTCATTAGTGCTTCTCCGTTTTCCCTGATAACGTCATGACAGCACCAGACCTGGGGTCTTCACTTCCCTCCTCACACAGTTTGTTATGCATCATGATCATTTGCATGTCTAGAGGGATTGTGTTTCTCTGGGATTGAAGAGCATGTACCTCAAACTGCCGACAGAAATGACATAATGGCATGCAAAAAAACAGGATGGATTCTCTTCACTATTCTATGTAAATATAACCAGTGTTCACTGGTACAAACTAAACTTTAATTCAGTAAATTCATTCCTAAACAATATGAATACCCAGACCTATACTTCTTTTTTTTTTACTTCAAACTGTATTAAGTTCTAATATTAAGGTATTAAAAATCAGTCTCACTTTTGCATTGAGATGAGCCATTTCCATAATTGATTAATCCTGGCCCACAGAAAGGGATACAGCTGTAACTGCCAGGGGTGTTATTGCAATTTGTCTGAGGTCCGCACACAGGTGGAATCATTTTACACTCGTCGATATCTGAAAAGGAACCACAGTGAGAGATTTCCACCAAATGTTCAGGTATATTCCACACCAGCTATTTTCTGCCAGGCAAAAAGAGGTTTTCTCGTGTGCCTGAGAAATCACTGGATCAAGATACAGTCATACAGTCATAAGCTGCAATGTTGACCCAGGACAAGCTGAAGAATTAGTGGATGCATTCTTTAATTCATACCTAAAAAAACAGGGGCAGGGATGAAGAAGAGCTTGCCAAGGACAGGAGTTAATAATGTCTATGATGGACGACACATGTGGAAAGAAAGTTTTTTGAGTTTTGTGCAGTTGTTGGTTGCTTTCTGACAAATCACTGAAAGAAGCAGTTTTGTGTGTTACATTTGTTCTGCCTGAATGAAGATGAAAACAAAGAGTGGGTTACCCTCCCCCTCTCCCACACCCCCAGCATACTTTGTAAAGTACATAGTAAACCATTGTTAACATATTCCCACGACTGGAGTGATCCTGGCTCCTGAAAAAGACATGAAGGTACTGTACTGGATGTTGCAGTAGGCAACAACGACAAAAGATGAACTCCCTTATACAGTATGCTCCAGAAGAAATGTGAAAAAAAGGACACATCACATACAGTAAATGTAGCTCTATGCATTTCACAACACTGACATTTTGTTGCATCACAGTAACAAAATAGCCCTGGTTTGGGTATTGTGTTTCATTTTATACCTTCCTAGTTCCATGACTAAAATTCCCTTGCATGTTTCTTCTACTGTTGCTATACATACATGTACAGTACTATATACTGTAGGTTCTATTCCTATACAAACTGAAACTATGTCTATACATATTGAACTATTCCTACATAATCCAAAAATATATTTTCATATACATAGTGGACTGTTTCTATTCCTATATATGCTGAAAAATGTAGAGGAATCCACTTTATATTATCAGTTACAAGTACTGTGTTTTTGTCTTCTTCATTTTTATCATGCATGTTTTATTTTTATCCCAATATATATTTTTTATGTATTATGTGTATCATGGTCATGATGCAGAGATTAAGCTAAAATGTCATTCTTAAATGTGAGCAACAAGTGTGCCAAATCTTCACACGTTGTACTGGTAATTTATGGAACACATTTTCTGCTATTCATTTTGGATTTGTAGTCCAAGCATCTGAATCCATCCACGTGCTCTAGTGTGTCAAGCTGTCTAATGAGCTATGGTTTCTCTCTACAGTCACAGCCTTGGTATCCCTTTCTTTCCACAAAATACCAAACTAACAGCCATCTGAGTATCTTCCGTCCCCCTAAATCTGTCTCGTATTAAAATACTTTATCTGTCATTATTCCACACTAGTATTTCTCTAGTGTATATTCAGTTGCACAACATATAAATATTCTTTGGGCTGAGCCAAGCCCTGGAAGAACTGGGATTTGATTCAGGAAACCCCCAGATTCACACACACATACTGTATCTATTCTGTCTACTGACCCCTCCTCCCCAGCTATGAAGCCTCACCTGAGCAGTTTCCTGTGGAGTTCTCAGACTGGCTGAACCCTGGATGACAGACACACCAGTAGCTGCCAGCTGAGTTAGAACAGTTGGCATTGCTGCCACAGATCAGCCCCTGTGTGCACTCATCTACATCTGCAAAGGAAACAGATTCTCTTCAAGTATGTCTCTTCTCTGTGCCACACAGTGTCACTCTGTGCCAAGTGCTGGAGACATTTTCCTTACAACGACGTGTCATCCGGTTGTTCATTTCACGAGGAATGACAAACACCCAAGAATAAAGCATCATGTAGCGAAACTGTGGCTTAACCCGCTTGGCTGAGGGCTGGCCTCCCGGCTATAGGCTAGGAGACCAGGACCCCCATGCAGGGTGACCAAGGGGCAGCTGCAGAGGTGGAGATGGGGTGGAGGTGAGATGCAAGAGACGTGCAAGAGAGAGAGAGATAGGGATCTCGTAGGTATTTAGCGTTTGGGAGAGGAATGGATTGTCAGGAGCGATTGCTAATTACTGACAGCTGAGTCCCATTGATCTTGGTGTTTGTCATCCCTCCCGAAATTTTATTATAAACTCCAAATATAATTCTATATAAATACAAATTTCACCTGACCATTGTTTATGCAGTTTGCGTTGAAACTACAGATTCTCCGTACATTCATCTATATTTGTAATGGAATCACACCCTGTTTTAAAAGAAGTTGCTTCCTTGACTCTGTTCAGTCTCAGATTTACAGTAAATTGCAGTTTATTTAGACTGTTTCACTTCTCTGTTCTTGCTCACAGTTCTGTGTTGCTATGCAACACTATGTACAGCACAAATCTTAGTCTTACGTAAATTTGACTCAGACTTACGTATATTAATACCATAGTCCCTCTAAGAGGTAGCAGGTCTGAGAGTACGTAAAACTACTGCAATACTTCTTTATCTGTACTAAATATTTTAAACTTGTACTGTAAAGGGTATTTATAATGATAAGCAATAACTGTATGATATTTTGCTGAATGCTCAATTATATGTAAGTCATTTGAAGGCTATAGGTCTAAAGTTACTGAGAAGACAGATCTCACACACATGTTCTGCACATACAAAGGAACTGTGGCACAGTATTCTTTTAAATTAGATTCAGTTACCATCACATTCTGGGTGGTGTTGTACTTGTCTTCACCAGTACTTGATTTGTATCCTTTATTGCAAGTGCAGTTATAACTTCCAATTGTGTTACTACATTTAGCATTTGGACCACAAATCGTTTTGTTCTTTTGACACTCATTGATATCTGTGGAAATGACATGAAGGTGAGTGTGATATCCCTGATTACAGCTTGGAGTCACCATGCAACACCATGCACAGCACTAATCTTGGATTCTCTTATGTAAATAAATACTATAGTCCCTTCAATATTAACTGGTCTGTGAGTCATGAAACTACTGCTATACTGTATTTCTTTTCTGTACTAAATATATTTCAGTCTTAAACTGTAAAAGGAATTTATAATGCTAATCAAAAACTGCAAAAA